AAGTATATGTGATGATATTGAAAATAATTATGGTCCGTTATGAAGACATTATTGTTGGACATAATGTACACTTCCTATTAAAGTATCATGTTAGGAAGAAGAGTCAATATAGTAGTACATGGAAGGGACTATGCCGACTTGATAGCATACAACCGCCATGACTCATGTTGATTTTATTTCTAATAATGAATTATGATGACGTCAATGTATGGAACCTTTAGCCTAGTAAATGCGCATTAAAGTTAATGTTAATTAAATCATGAAGGGACACCTTATGACATGAGCCAAGTGGGAGAATGTAAAACAATTTGTGTCTCATGTGTGATGTGTGTCAATTGGTTTGATTAATAATAAAAGAGGCTTTAAGGTAATTGACGTTTCGCATTAATGATAATTGACATTTTAACGTTTTGCATTATGGTAACGTTTCGCATTAATGATAATTGACGTTTTAACGTTTTGCATTATGGCAACGTTTCGTATTAATGGTAATTGACGTTTTGACGTTTCGCATTAAGGGAAGTTAATTAGAAATAACTGTGATAGGCCAGTTATATAATTGACCTTCTGAGTCTGCCTAGAAAAGTTGTATCTTATCCCTATCAAAGAAGGTACAAGAACGGTGAAAGGGTTAAGGCTTAGAGAAAGCATTCTACTGTTAAAGATCTTCCGCAATTATGGACAAAGGTATGTTTGTGTGAAACTCGTGAATTCTAAAGATCCTATGTCATGTTCTTGACTGATTACTGTTGAACATGAATCATGAATTACTGATTCAATAGCTTACATAGGGTACCTCCCTAAATCCGCCTCTGAGCCATGCTGATTATGGACCAATAATAGTGTTTGAACGTTGATTATGCAGTAAGTAGCATTTTCTAAAAATAACACTTCTCATGCATCACCCACTATTGATGCTTCTTCGCATCAACATAAACTAAGATGTAGGTGTGAGACAATCTTTAGTGAGACCTACAAGAATCAGATGGTAAAAAGTGTACAAATATGAGATGATGTGCATAAATGTTTGAGTAGTAGTATTATTTCCTGATCCGTAATGAAATAAAAGGCCCACGTTGGAAGTCTTCACCATGAAGAAAACCCATTTGAGAAGCTTTCACCACGAAGAAAGATATAAGTTGATTATCTCAGTCAACAAAAACTTCTCTACATCTTAGTCATGATTACCTCTGCAAAGCTTATCTCAGTCACCTACGTAGAAACCAATTGGAAAGCTTGTCGCCTTACCACTTGCAAGCAACTTGGAGGGATATCTCCTAAATCTGATCATCTCCCCACTATAAATATGAATGTGTTAATCAAAGGTATACACACATTTTTTTCTACATGAATAAATCTGTTTACACAAAATCTGACTTGGGTGTCAGAATGTCTTACATATACACCCTCATCTTGTTTTAGTGAAAGCACATGAGTCAAAGCTGTATCAAATCATTTGTGTAGAGGAAAATTACATGACGAGCCCAGATAAAAATGGTTATTATCATCTCCAAAATCTTTTCTAATAAATGGGCACTTATTCGAATAAGTAATTTATTTGATTAAATGTCGAATAGTGAATGAAGTCATACCCGTGTCAAATTTGTTTTAAAGGTATGGCTCATTTGGTTAACTTTGATTAAATAGGAATATATTAGTTTTAGATTGGAAAATGAGATACGTTAGAAAAAAAATTAAAAGAAGGATAATTTTTTCAATCAGCGTTGCTCAATTTTGTTTCGAAGGCACAATTTTATCATTTAATTTTTCCACTTTTAAGGTAATAATTTGATACCATTTTGTTACATCATATCTAACTTTTTGTTAGAAACGAAAACAACTATCTAGTTCAAAGGCAATTGTTAGAAATGGACCTATTTTGATGCTCCAAAAAATACGTGATGTTATATTCATCTTATATTTATCAGCAATTCAGCAGTATTAAATTAGTTCCTCAACGAAAATTAATACCATAAACTTCGTTCTTTAAGGATGAATTAAAGACTATTTTAAAGTCAATTTATAACAAAATACAAAGTTAAAAGGAAAATATAACGTTTCATATATATATATATATATATATATATATATATATATATATATATATATATATTTGAAAGAATAATTTAATATTTTTTTGTACAATTCAATCTATTTATAACTAAAATATGAATATTAAATCTCATATACATTTGAAGGACCAAACTACACATTTACTAGTTTGAAATGCAATCTCTCACCCAAAAAAATGTTCTTTTTAAAATTATATTGAGAGATGGTGTGTAACAATCTTTTTTATTCCTGTATTTTTTTCAATTAAGTAATATATTTTTAAAGGTTTAAATAATATATTTATAGGAAAAAAATTTCTCCAGCAACAAGTGATAAAACTATCTCCAACATTTCTAAAATGACATCATTTTGGAATTTAGGAAAAAAAAAATTCAGAGTATTTTAATAATTTTACTTTCCTTTTTTATCATATATTTTTACTAAAGCATTTTTTTTTTCCAATCCGAATCTTGTGGGATAAATCAAGACGTGGTGGTGTGAATAAAAAACATGCAGAGAATCAGTGTGCATCAAATAAAAAGAAATCCTCGAGATTATTAGAGCCCGTTTGGATAAGCTTTTTTTTCTTCAAAAACTGCTTTTTTTAAGAAAAAAAAGCATTTCTCGAAAAAAGTCTGTTTGGATGCCTGCTTTTAAAAAAAGCAGAAGTCATAAAAAAAGCAAAAAACTTACTTTTTTTCGGAAGCTAAAAATTTTAGCTTCTCAAAAAAGCAGAAGTCAAAAGTCAAATATTTTTTTCAAAAATCAAATATTTTTTTAAAAATCTAAATAGCTGTAACTTTTATAAAAAGTACTTTTAAAATAAAGAAGTAATAAAAATGACTTTTAAAAAAAGTGAATACAAATGGGCGCTTAGTCTTGTTCTTGGAAAATTAAGAGGAGTCCATCCTTACTACTTGCACCTACTGGATTTAGTCTCCAATAAGAATGGATTCCTGTGATCTTCCAAAAACAAGGAGAACACGTCTTATTGGTCTTGGTCTTTGTCTTGCCCTCCTATCTCAGTTACCTAAGCAGTTTATTTCCAATAAGGCATCCTATTAACACAAATGATCTTCATCATTTCTTTTTATGGAAAACTTCAAAAACCTCCCTGTAAGTTTTTTCAGAATCACTTACCTTCCTTCCCAAAATTTTTAATCATTTATCCTCCTACTTAAAGTTTTTTTATCATTTACCTCTCTAACTTGATTTTTCATCCAAAACTACAGTTAACAGTGTTAATTATTTTATAAAATACCAAAATACCCTTTAATTAAAAAAACATTGACGGTGAAAGCAAATCAAAAAAAGAACCTAACATATGTTGATGGCATTTCTATATTGGGTCTGTCTCAAGAAAATATTATCAACAGTCTATAAAAAATTTCTACAATCTAGTTCAGGTGATATTAGACTTTATGAAATTGCTCGGATTGAACATGAAGTATGAACTGAAATTCTAACCTTTCAGTTTAGTGTAGCATATAAGGTCACTGCAGTGATCAAATAGAAGGAAGAGTTATGTAAGTTAGAGTATTCGCACAATGTGGACAAAACGAATATTGGGGACATATATAATCAGCATATTACTTCAGAAATATTCCTTTGGAAAAAACTAGGTGGATTCTCTAATCTTTAATTTAATTACCAATAATATACAATGAAGATGTATAATAATTATCTCAAGTCCACTAAAGTCCTTAACGTGTGGCCTACCATTTTGTAGCCAGGGCCTTCGGGCCGGTTTGGTGCAGCACACAAATAATAGTTCAACGCTGTGTTTTTGAATCATGACCGAATTTCATACCTTGGTATTAAAATCACTAATATCATCATTTATATAGTTAGATATACAATAAAAATTTATCCAAAAAGTAGAAAAGAGACTATTAAAAGCATTTACAAATTGGGTATTGAATCATCCTAATATGGGTATGTGTAGGCAAAGATGCAGGGAAACATTTTTTAGCTAATTGAGAAGACATGAAGCCTGTGGATCTGCACTCTTTTTTTTTTTTTTTTTTTGCAGAAACACAGCGTTTTGAGCAATTAACTAAAATGTTAGGGATTGACAAACCTGAAATTTCATACAAAGTTAGGGTTTCGATTGACAAACCTGAAATTGCTCAAACGTTGTGTGCACCGGTGGATAGGGATTCGGTCAAATGATTTCGTGTGTGTAGAGAAAAGGAGAAGCTAAACCGATGTAGGTGTGAAGCTCAACGACTATGGAAATCTGCAACTGGAGCAAGAGAGGCTATGACAAAGAGAGCATATGGCAACAACTCTTAACACATAAACGGTCAATTTTTTTTTATTAAAGGGTATTTTTGGTATTTTATAAAATAATTAACATTGTTAACTGTAGTTTTGGATGGAAAATCAAGTTAGGGGGTAAATGATAAAAAAAACTTTAGGTAGGGGGGTAAATGATTAAAAATTTTGGGGAAGGGAGTAAGTGATTCTGAAGAAACTTACATGGGGGTTTTTGAAGTTTTCCCTTCTTTTTATTTGATTCCGCATGTTTTTTTTTTTTTTTTTGGATAAACCAAAGGTATTCTTCCCAAGAAATAATCCTGTTCAGAAGGGATTCAAAATTAAGACTTTAAACCCCTCCCAAAAATAATATTGAAAAATAGGCAATCTTGTTCTGCATGTTTTTTATTCACACCACTAAAGCTTGATTCAGTTGTTTGCAAATTATAGGACGCAAGAGTCTAGATGAAGATCGTTATAATATCAAGAAATTGAATCTTGTGTTACAGATATCTACGACTGTTCATCGAGAAATTCCAGCGTATGTTGATGAACCTGGAGAAATACAATGTGTTGAATGGCCTTCTCAAGAACCCCAAGAAGAGGGTCTTATCTTGGAATGCAACTACAGTTATGGAATCAGCAGAGGGTTTAGAGAGTAAGCGCAATAGCATGAAATTTAGATAGGTATTTTCACCAAAATAAAGATGGGCAAAAAAATAGTACACATTAGCAGACTTTGCACTACAAATGAGAGAGGCATGAAATCGATTATTCAGTAGCTGCATATACTTTCAAGTTTCACCTCTGTCTCCTAGCTTCATAGAACCTTTGACCCCCTCATCATATATTGCATCTCCTAATTGAATTGGTTCTTTACAGCATCTTCCGTGTGAATACTAACTCTATCATAACATAAAACATTGTTCTCCAGTACTCTATCATCTTAAGGGTGATATAAGCTTTACAAGAATGGTCATAGACCAGAAATTGCATATGTGACAAATTGAAGGAAGAGAGATTTCTATGCTATGAAGTTACCTAAAATGGCCAAGGGGGCATTTTGCAAAGGATACTTTCTCCCTATACTGGCCCAAAACTAGAAAGAAAAGGGGGGGAAGAAAAACATAAAAAAAGAATCAAATATTCTTAAACACGCTTTGCTGCAACAGCCTCCACAACTCAACGACCAGAAACCAATAATGAATTGGTTATCTGGTTCCCTTCGGCTTGAAGTCTTCTCATTCTTGCCTTGTCCAAACGTGCTCTTCTAACAGCCTCTTGAATTTCACGGTCATGGTCTTTCAACATCTGATCCATGTTGCTTGATGGAACTAGCAATGGACCAGAATAATGAATTTTATGACCCTTTGACCCATAACCAACCTGCAGCATTATTTATGTGGGGAAGAAAATATGAGAACAAGCAAATATTTTAAGACCAAATAAACCAAAAAAATTTCAAATCCAACCCTTAAAAAAAACAATAACATGCCAGTAGTGAACGACATGATGGAGCAAATTGTATTGTACAGTTCAAGATAAAAAAAAGGTAAGGGTAGAAGTCGAATTACTTACAAGAACAGGGTCTTTGTGGCTGCCTCTCCCTTCTTCCTTTTGAGAAGCACCTACTAGGCTATTATTTACATGTTTTCTTTGATCCTGTTGCATTGTCGAATCATATGCCTCCTTGAATGATCCTGGGAACCTGCTAATTAGTTTTGAAGCCTCCATGTGTGATGAACCAGACCTTTCTCTTCGATCATCTGACAACATACACCTGGCTGAAACTAAGCCTGAGATTTTTGATAGGTCGCCCCCAACTGAAATCTTTGGATTGTCATCCTGGTTCTTTCCAGTTTTAGCCCATGCAGCGTGGTGAGCCAGCGGACCAGAATGGGAGGCTCTTTTATGTTGCTGTACCTGAGGATCTACACCTACATCTACTGCTTGTGACGGTCTAGGGGGATCAATGGGAAATCCAGAAGCTTCTTCTGGATGAGGGTTAAACTTCTCACTTCTGCTTTTAGAATGAGCCTGACCTTGTCTCTTCTGTAATAAAAGGTTATTTTAGGTTTCAAAAAAAGAAAAACAGATGTTATAAATAAATAAACAAATAAATAAATAAGATGGTATAAAAATATCCTCCTCACCGGATTCAAAGAGGATAAAGATATTTTGAAGGAGAAACTGAAATAAGTAATTCAACTTTCAAACAGTTGTTCTCTTTTTTTATCATTCTTTCTGCATTTGCTTCATTATTATAAATGGATTTATATATAATTTTTTTTTTGTTGATTTAAGAAAAAGTTGTCCATTGGTCCTAAGAATACTAATGATACATAGAAAGATATCTATGTATACACTTTCAATGGAAAATTTAAAAAAAGAATGCAATATACGGGTTAATCAAACATTTCTTCTTTGTAATATCTGCAAAATATTTTTTTTGCAGTTCTATTCTTTTAGCATCATAAGTTCTTTTGTTCAAATTAGTATTTATCCCTAGAGTTATAAACCCCCTTTTCTTTTGTCATTTTTTCTATTTGCTTTGTGATTGTCTTTGTTTTAGCATTCAGATTCCTTAACTCCTAAGATGCCAGGCAGATATTTGTTTTGTGGGATAAAAACAAGAGCTAATCCAAAAAGATATATTCATGCATTGACAAGACCAGTAGAGTTAGGAAACAGCTAACAAAATCAAACATAAACAGCAAATCACCTTGATCAAATCAGGTTAATACTACGATTAATTATGGGTACCTGCATTGACAAGACAAGTTCAGCATTGGCATCAGGTGCAGGGACTGCTCGAGATTCTCTTATCCCTCTCCTTTCAAGGTCATGTCTCTGGCCCTTGCTTCCTGCTATCCCTTGTCTGCAAATATCAAAAACGAAAAAATAACAGTCAACTTCACAAGCTAGCAATGAAGGAGTACAACACCAAAAGAGAATATTACAGTTGGGCTAAAGCACATAGCTAACAAGCACCATTCTGATTAGAAAAACTAGATACAGTTCAGATTGTTTTATTGACTAATTTAATATAAACCTATGCCATGAGGCAAATGTAACATCATCCCCTGCTCAATTTTCCGGCAGCCAAAGTATATACCATCATTGGCAATGTACAAATAATAATTTTCAAGAAGAAAAATAAGGATATGGCTGCTCAATTTCCGGGCAGCCACACTTGTGTTTTTTGAAGATTTTAGGGGGAGAGGAGGGCGGAAATGGAAGACTTAATCTAAAAAAGAAATTCAGAGAATAACTGTTCCTCTTTTCCAAATGACCAAAGTTAATCAACAAACATGAAGCCATTGCATTTGGAAAAGAAAGAACCAGAAAAATCTTGCCATAGAGAAGCAACAAGAGTAATTGCAGAATTCAATTAGAAGATTTATAAGATATTAGGTAGTTGAAACATAAAAACACAAATGCAGAGGCACCCTTTAAAACTGAGTAGTAATAATGCATTAGGCAATACTGAACTTATGACAAATACATATGCACACCAAAACTGAATACACACCTTCTTGCTTCTTCATCCCGTACTTTGGCATCAAATTCTTTGCTAGGAGGATACTTTGGCAAGATCAAAGGATCACAAGGTAGAGGCTTTGTTCTGAAGAACTAAATTGCAAGTACACCAAAAGGGGACAGTCAGGAACAATGCATACTGAAGCATTAAAACAATAATTTACAACGCAATAAAACAGAAATGAATGCAAACAATACAATTGAGCAAGAGATAATGAATAACTACTAACCAATATGTAATAAGCATATCAATTAGCTGATATACATATAAATTTTCTAGCTTATTAAGATCTTGGAGACAATCCTGGTTGTTACTTACAGTAATAGGCGTGACCAAGAGACAATACAGGAGCATTAATTTGTTTAAAGCAAAGGCAAGTATGCCCAAAGATGTCACAAAAACATTTTAAAGTTGCCACTTTTTGGATAACCAACAACCTTGGTTTGAACTTTGAAATATAAGTCAAACAGATGCTTTTCCCAACATGAACATCTACTTATATGTGATAAGTTACATTGCATATTGACAATATCAGGACAACTGGCATTAACAGCAAAATATGAAAATTATAAAAGATGCTGTAGTACAACTTCAAAAATTTCACACCTCACTGTTCAAAGCGGATGCTGCAGTTCCACGATCAGCGGGATCTACGGACAAAAGGATCTCCATGAGTGCTAATGCTGGTGTAGGAAAGTCCTTGAATGTTTCAGCAACACAACGCCTATAGGGCTGTTGAGGCTTAAATATTGTTGCATGGGGCAACTTTGATTTTCTCCAATAATCCTCTGAAGGTGAACCACAAAGTTTGAAAATCTTATGTAACTGCTCCACCTGTAAGAAAGAGCAGTAGCTTCTAATCATTTTATTAATACATGTATACAACTAGGCTACTAATACACAAGATTGTAAAAAAGAACATGAATAGGAAATTCTACAGTACATAATATTCATTTGTTAGGCAATACTGATATTCCCTTGTCAACAAAACCTAATTATTAATGTTTAATAATTCTTCAAAAGCCACCATACGTGATACGATTTGTATTAGGAGGGAAAGGATATTCCCTCTGATAGGATATACCAAGTGAATAGAAAATTAGGGGTTATTAGTTAGTTGAGAGGATTGGCAGTTAGGAGTTGTTAGCTTCCCCAACTATATAAGGGAATGTGCTTTTAATTTGAAGTAGCTTGTAATAAATATAGGATTAGGCTGAGAGTTCTCAAAGAAGGGGAGTACCCCTTGGCAAGAGAAGTGTCTCTTGTATGTTCATTTATTTTTTCTCATCAATAAACATATCTTTTTCTTCCATTCTTCCTTTCTATTTTGCAAGTATTCCAGAGCCATAACAATACGTTATACAAAAGTATAATCTAAATTTTCTTACCGCACCAGTGAAGAATAAAAATCTACACTGCCACCAACATTTAACAGATGAAATGAAGGAAATACATTAATACCATATTTGAACTGAAACAGTTAAGCTCATACCTCAGTTCTTCCAGGCATTATAGGTTTGCCAGCATACAACTCAGCAAGTATGCAACCTGTACTCCATAAATCTACAGTGGTGCCATAGTACGTGGCTCCAAGTAAAAGCTCCGGTGGCCGGTACCAAAGGGTGACAACTCGGCTCGTTAGAGGCTGAATTTGATTGGGGTTGAAAAAACTCGCCAAACCAAAGTCTGCAATCTTCAAGACTCCATTATTGTCAATCAAAAGGTTGGAACCCTTAATGTCGCGGTGCAGCACACCACAGCTGTGGCAGTGATCAAGTCCACGTAAAAGTTGCTGCATGTAACATTTAACCTGACAAGTTCCAATAAGAAATTAAACCTCTGTTTGAAATTCTCTTTTCTTTTCTTTTTTTGTCATGTAGCATCTTGTCTTTGACTAGGTTTGTCTTTAGACGAAATCTTAAACGCTTTCGAGTAGCTTCATCCCTGTAAAGTAACCATCTCACCTAAAAGCTTAAGCTTAGAAGTGAAGGTCCATCAATGGTTTTATATTATATCTCTAACAATCCTCTTATTTTACGTTTCTTTTTCAATCCGAAAAATATGAAGTAATTAAACCACAGTGATCATATTTTTGTGGGGAAATCTTACCCTTTCATATAGCTTACTAGATTGTTCCTCTTATTTTCAATATATTCATTTTCAATCCCAAAAATAAAAATGGAATTAAAGCTCAGTGGCAATAGGAATGAATGTTTTCAATTACTAGCTTAAAAATACAAATATAGGAAAAGTCATTTGGTTGAATATCACATCAAACAGCAGTAAGTAGAAGCAGGGTCCTTCTTGGGACATGCCGTAAGTTACATTTGTTGTAAAACAGCAAGGAAGAAATAGAAAATAAAGAAGCTTTGCAAATTACCTGTGCTTCTGTAAACTTCAAACCAGGATGTGACGCAAGCCCAGCCAAGTCATGCTCCATGTACTCAAAAACAAGGTATAAGCTGCAAGACATCCTTGACGTAACCAAGCCTTCCAGTTTTATGACGTTTGGATGATTAAGCCTACGCAGGATTTGAATTTCCCTTGCCATGAAGCGAACACTCTCAGGCTCAAGATTATCAAACCTTACTTTTTTCAAAGCAACAATTTTCTTTTGCTCAAGATCACGAGCCCTGTAAACATTACTATAAGTTCCCTGTCCAATCTGCAACTCAGAAGGATGAAAAATTTATCATTCTTGGCAAACTAAAGCAGGCTAAAAGGTAATATCATCATTTAGTTAACTGAGATCAAGGAGAAACAAAAGACAACTAAATATATATCTCCAAACTACAAGTAAATAAATCCCAAATTTACCTCAATGTTTTGTCAAATACATCAGAGGGTGAAATCAAGAATATAAGAAATGCAAATAGAAGCATAATCGGACTAGTCAGTCCAAATTCATAGTATCTTGACCTTGGTCTTACCAACAAAAAGCAGTAAAATATTAAGCATAACATCATTTGTATCTTACATTAAATTAATAATAACGTTCAAGTTATATAGTAAGATCATAAAATTCAAGTATCAGTTTAAAAATGATAGCTTGCATAAAGCATTGTTTAGGGTAACAAGTTGAGAGAGAGAGAGAGGGGGGGAGAAAGAGAGAACTCTAAATCACTTACAGATAGTTTCTCCACTAGTGAAATAAGTTACAAGACTTATAAGTTACCAAAGTTGTGCAAAGAAACAACCAATTTTGATCAACTAATTGGCAGAAGAAAGAACATAGATATACATTAGTTAAGCCCACCATAATGGCAACTATTATATTCATAATAAGTCATGACCAAAGAAGATAGTGGGGAAACTGATAACATGTTGTCCAAATTGAAATCACAGGAATAGAGCAGATTTTGGAAACAAAGATAACCAAAGAAAAATGCAGGAGAGGATGACGAAAAACAAATTTAGCATTTTAAAAGAAAAAGAAAACAAATTAGAAATTTTTACATTTAAATCAATACTCAACCGGCAATTGTAAAACTAAAACTAGAATATCTGCATCTACCCAAAGCATTGTCAAAATTCCATTATGAGACCAGATCAAGAAAGAAACATACTTTATCCAACTTCTCAAAAGAATCTGCACGGCGCGGTAACCATCCCTTGATAGCCTCTCCAGCCACTGATGCAAGCCAGGAGGGCCATCCAGCTGCAACCTGCTCCCCTTCCATGGCTTTGGGAACACTACCAACCCTTGGATGTTGTTGAGCAGAAACATATTCCATTCTCTCCCTCTTCCTTTCAACATTATCACCTTGCGACCGGACAGAACCATTCCCTACCTTATCAATCAATGCAGTTCTCACATCATTACCATCATATCTATCCTTCACTCCATATGCTTCCTCCCTCCTCAATGAAGTACCCCTAGACACATGAGAGTCCAATGAAGCCTTGCTTGACAAACGCTCCCTTGGGCTCTCCTTGCTATCTTCAATGGAAGAGGGCTTGCAACAGATGCTACCCATTATGCACAGCAACCCCCTCCAACAAAACCAAGTTTCAATCTCAATGTTTCTCACCCCTTCAATTGCATTCCCACAATTCTATCCTAACAACAGGATCTTCAGTGCACATAACCACTAACATTATACCCCCAAAAAGAAAAAAGCCAAATTGTAATTGTGATTGTAATAATAGTACAACAGCAACCCAGTATTCATATCATCCCAAATGTGATATCACGAACCACCCAATAAACAAAAACTCAATTAGATGTCCAAACAGTTAAAAAAACCTCAAATTCAACAAATAAAACCTCAGAAATCTAAAAAAAAAAAAAAAAATACAGTTCTTTGCACAGTAGAATAATCCACCCAAGGAAAGACTGCTACTTTATGAACCAGGAAGCACCTAAGTTTGCAAATTCAGAACTAGGAGAGTGTAAAATACCAACAGGTAGATCCTCACAAGTCACAACTTTCTTTTTGTGGAATTGAGTTTGCAAGGCTCTGTGCGGTGCCTTGAATGTGGGACCCACAGAAGAAGGCTTTCCCAGGAAAGGAACAGCGAAAAAGGGTAACATTGAAACTCAGAAACATGTAGAAAGGTGAACAGCCATGGATCTAGGGTACCACCACAAGGATTTCAGAGAAAGAGAAACATGTAGAGTAGTTGTTTCTGAAGACAACAAAAAAAATAAAAAATAAAAAATATTAAACTAGAGTAACATAATCAAATTTTTATATATTTAATTAGAGTTTGGTGTTTGTATGACATAATGGACACAGAAAAACAGAAATCAAATCATGTAGATGGATTTTTTAATTTAAAATTCAAATTTTTTATGTATGATCTCTTTTAAAATGACATAATTTTCTATCATTTAAGATGACAAACACTCTTCCTATTTAATAATAATAATGTTGTTGTTGTTAAAATAAAATAATATTAGTTGTGGCGGTGCATATTTTATGCTGTCAAATATGGGTGTCAATGGTCCGCCGGTATAATACATCTCGGCCTATATTAAAACAGGTTTAGATATCATAAAAATTCTCTTTAGAAAGTAAATTATATATTTTCTTTTATTTATCGATCTATAAGTTTACAGTCTGATTATATTATATTATTTATTTTAAATAAATTATTAATTTTGTAATATATAAAGTAATATTATTGTAATTATTTTTTTAATTATTGAATATTAAATTGACTTAAATAAACTAACAAGCTTAGATCAAAGAATTTTATTTTTAAATATAAATTAAATCAAACTTGTAATTTAAGCTTGTTCAAAACTAATAAATCAAGTTAGGTTTAAAATATTTTATACAAATCTAATTTCTTTACGATAAAGTCCAACCCAACTCAACTATTTATATCCGTACTGCCAAAAGTTCACCTTTGAGTGGACAGTGAGAAAAAGAGTGAAACCTTTAAACACAAACATTGATTTAAGGGAAAAACACTTCTCTTTTTATAGGAGAAGCTAATATTGTTAAATTCAAGATTTTAAGTAAAACTAAAAAAGAATTAAAAAATTGTAAAACATAAACTTATAATATAAAAAAATCATAAAAAACTGTTAAAAAATATAAAAATATTTAGAATATTAATAAAATTGTTTTGATAAAAAAATTACAAAAACATAAAATTATAATAATAAATTGAGATTTTATCAACATAGATAAAGTCTTCTTATGCCAAATATATAACTTTTGTGTGCCACATCTGTTTTTTAAAAAGAAAATTATTAATGCAAAAGGAGGATAACTTTTTTTTTTTGCGGTAGGAGAGGTATAAATCCCTTGATTTAAGAGTAAAATATGTGTTATTTTAAAGGATATAAAGTTAGTCATTTTAAGTGAGAGAAAAAAATAGATAAATAAGATGAGAAAATTGACAAAAAAAAAATATGAATCTCATCTCTTTATAAAAATAAAATGATATAATTTGTGTAAATATTTTTCCCCCTTTATTTAATGATAGAAAAAACAAAAGTATTATGTTACCGGAAGACTTCTATATTACGCAGACATCGAACAGCGTGTTTCACTTTTAACAACAGCCCCACCATTAAATGTATCCGCTGAAATGAGAGGAAAAGTCCGAACACTCATAATGATTTGGGCAATAGTTTTCAAACTTGTCCACTGTTGATACAAAATAAGGGATGGGTTTTATTTTTTTATTTTTTTTCTTTTCTCTTTTCAGTGATATTTTTTTAGTGATCTCTACCAATATTTTATGTTAATAGAAGACAAATTTCTCCTCCCAGAAAACTATTACCCTAATGATTTACGCGCCTAAAAAATTAAGCTCCCTATTGCACTAATTAATAGATAAATAAACTATTTTTTCATAAACTAAAATATCCAATAGAGCCAACATAATTTGTTAAACTAGTCACGATCAAAGGATTTTATTTGTAAAGTTTAGTTTCAATTTTTTTGTCTATATGAATATCCGAACTATGTATAAGTATTATTATAAGCTTGTTATTAAAAAAAAGTATGTGTTTATGCTGAAAAAAATTTCTATCACGCTCATATAAAAGTGAATAGGTCTCATCATAAAAAGAAGCAAAAAAATTAATGTAATACACTTATTTTTATACGAGTGTGACTGAAAAATAAAAATTATAACAAAAACAGAAATATTATTCCTTAAAAAATATCTTTGTAAACTTACATTCTGACAAAATTACAAGTTATCATTTAAAATATAAGATAAATATATAATGATTGCTTACTATTCATTTAGTTAAATCCAATTAAGAAAGCTTACCAAAAAAAAAAATCCAACTAAGAAGATAAACCAAAAAAAATCCAATTAAGTAAGAAGAAAATTAAGAACGAATACACGTGAAATATGATTGTATTAATTTTTTTATGTGTGATTATATTAATTTGATTACATATGTATATCCATAATCATAAGTTAATTCAAACATTATATCAAAATATGTAAAGAAAATAAATTTAGTAAACAACTTTTCCAGACAAGCAAGAAGAAAACTAAACCATGAATTAAAATCGGTATCGACCCAAAATTCAAGGCTAAAAACAAACTTAGCATGTTCAAACACGTAATTAATGTGAGGTTTATATGGCCTTGGGTACTCTCACCTCCTTTTGAGCGAGCTTTTGGTGTGATGACCTCAAGATTCTCTTCCACATGTAGGTAGGCTTGTATGTTGTCCACCCTTCAAATTCAATGGACTCTCATGTGAGGGGTGTGTTGAGAAATATAGTCTCACATTGGTTGAGACTATATTTCTCAACAATAACTTTAAAAGGTTCTTCTCCCTCCCCACCCCCAACCCAACTTTCACTCATAATTGTCTGAACTTCTCATTCAACTTTTTTTTTCATACCCCAAATAATATTTTCTGTCCCTTTGTTCCAATCTGTCTTGCACTTAATGATACTATGATAGTCAGTTTCACAAATTGAGGATTTAGGGTGAGTTTATTTTTATTTTTTTGAGTTACCCGACTCTAATTACATCTTTGAGGCGAGTTGGCTCCTTCTGATATTCTCACAAACTTCAACTCTTTTAGTCGGCTATAGGACTAATCCGGAGTGTGGGGGTCAGTGATGGCTAAAGGGGCTAAAAGTTCAGCCCCTCCCCAAAAATGCATTCAGCGAGAATCGAACATATGTCCAACTCTATTAACTCAGCGCCAAAAAACCAACTAAGCTGATTGGGTGTGTGAGTTTATCTCTGTGCAAACCATATTGTAACTTTTTTTACATTATCATTTGACATAACAGTAAAACATTAGTTAATGAGTTTAATTATTATTTTTAAATATGAGTTTAACTAAATATGTTAAAAACTATATGAATAAAATGTTAAACTCGTTAAATGTTATAAAACAAATTGCAACTCAATTAATAAATATAAAGAACCACTTCTAATCGAAGAGCTTAATCTATTAAGTGAATGTCAGATTAATGATTTTATGTTTTTTCTATCATAATAACTTTATATAATAATTTATTTCATTCTTTAAAACCCTCATAATAACTTTATATAATTATCAAATAATTTCTAACTTTATATTTTAACCATAAAAAAAAATAACTGTGTCAAATAGGCTCTTAAAAATAGTTTTTAACATTAAAAAAATTGTATCAAGCGGGCTCTTAAATAACTTCAATTGAATCGTCATTAAAAGTCGCGTGCTTACAACGAACGTGCATACCTAAAGAGAGGGAGAGTCGTTGGCTTTTCCACTGCTTTTGTGGGCTATGTTGATAATTTGGGAGTGGATGAAAAAATGATGATGCGTGTATGTTATTTAATCATAATTATTCATTGACAATGAAATAAAAAAAAAATATATAATTTTTAAATAAATAATTATGATCAAATAATATGATTATATAATCACTTTTTTATATAAAAATATATACTCCATCATAATTTTATTAGGCGAGAGAATTATCACACAACCACTTAGTACCATAAAAAGGCAATTAACACTCTAACAGTACTGTTAGGTTCATAGGTTGCCACAAAGATTCCTTACATCATGGCAATTGATTATTTGATTCTATGGTCCCATGATCAGACGTTACACATCACTCCATCATGGAGATCTTTATCTCTTTTTTTTGGGGCTATATAATTAAAATTTCCTTAATCATTTTGGCTTAACAAATGCCTTGCTATGTCCTTTTCAAATTTTGGCATTGCGCACCCAACCTGCTTAACTTGTCTCCATTTTTATCTTTTTTATTTATTTAGTTTTACTTGTGTGTTTTCCAAGAACAAACCGTACATGGCTTTTGTGAAATCTTACTTGAATCAATCATCAGTTTGAAGTCAATCAATAAAAATGCTTCCAATCACGATGATTGATGAAAGAAGAATAATATAGTTGCGTTTTAAATTAAACTAAAATATTGAATGAGGCAGTGTTAAGGAAACAACTTGAAAAGTTCCAAGTATTAAAGATTCAGAAGAACACTCTTTCCATCCATTCATTAATTATTTTTATATCGAGATTATTTTACAATTAATTTTAAATTTATTATTAGTATTATTAAATATATCATAAGATGATCTTATATATAACAATAAAATGTAGATTCTAGATGAAATATATTTTAAATTATATCAAAGTTAATATACTTTTATGGGAAAAATGTTTCTGCAATTACTGCAAATAAATTATATGTATTTATCCTCAAAACGATGTCGTTTTGATATTGAAATCTTAAAAAATTATAAATATAACGACTATTATAACCCTTAAATAAATTAAAATTACAAAAACACCATGATTTCCGCCCCAAAATGACGTCGTATTGGGCTTACCGCAGATAACTTATCTGCAGTAACTGCAGAAAAAACGAACCTTACTTTTATTTCACAATATATTCCATTCGTCGGTATTTTTTTTAACAATTTCATATGACTAATCACTTTTAAACTTTGATGACTAAACAAACCAAAAATATATAAGTATTAGCTTAATTAATTTTTCAAACTCAAAAGTAACTTTTTATTTTTTATATAAAAATTTATTAGTATATGTAATGGAATAATATTTTATCTTATATATATTCGTAAAAAGATTATGAACATTATGCTAATATTATAAATATAAA